CCCCCAAAACCCCAAAACCCCAAAACCCCTTTTTGCTGTATAATATTGAGATATTTAAAATATGGCTCGCAAATTTTGGACTCATTTGGCGAGACTAGTCATACTTTTATGGTCATGGTGACATCTTGTCGTAGCTTATGATCCTGATACGATAGATGTTCATATAGTCTGCCATTCACATACAGATGCAGGATGGTATAGAACCTATGACTCTTACTTTACTGGATATGTTATTCCTATTTTGAATAGCACAATTGATAAAGTTCATTCAGGAAAGAACTACAAATATAACTGGGCAGATACATCCTTCCTTGCTAAATGGTATCGAGAAATTGCCTCAGAAGAGCATAAAAAGAAACTCCATGAACTTGTAAAGCAAGGAAAATGGCAATTCATGGGCTCTGGATGGGTAATGAGCGACGAATCCTTGACTGTCTATAAAAATGTCATGCTCCAGCTACAAACAGGTATCAAATTTGTGGAAGAAACTTTTGGAGTCAGACCTAAGATTGGATATCAGATAGACCCATTTGGAAATTCAGCAGTAACTCCAAGTATCTTATCAGTCCTTGGATATGAAGGAATTGTATTAAGCAGGATTGGAACAACATTTGATTGGGATCTGGAAGCCTCAGAAAACTCAGAATTCATTTGGGAGGGATCAAACTTCGATAATAAAAGTGATGGAAAACCAATTCTTGCTCACCATCTTGTTCGGTCAAAATATCAAGCTCCTGCAGAATTTAAATTACAGGAATCTTCTTTCCCATCATGGATTCACCCAAAAGCTGCTTGTAAAGATAAGGAAGAGCTGAATGAAAATTATAAAGAATGAATTAAGCTATATTGGGATGAAGTCATACATCCATCCCTAACAGGCCATCGACATAACCAAGTCCTGTCTATATTTGGCGAAGATTTTGCATTCAAGAATGCTCACTATAGCTTTGACTACATTGATGAGTTCATTAAAGTTGTAAAAGAGCATTTCCAAGAAGTGACTGGCAAAAAAATCAACATTTTTTACAGTACATTCAATGAATATTTTGATGCTGTAAAGAACTTCAATAATGGAGATATAAAGTTCCCAGTCTATAAAGGAGATTTCCTTCCCTATGTTCAACTCGAAGATGGTAATTTTGACCACTGGGTAGGATATTACAGCTCGACACCATCTTTAAAACAAATGATAAGGCACTTATTCCAAAGACTAAGATCGCTTAAGTTAGAAAATTTGCTGAGCTTTTTAAAAGATGATTCAGTTAAAACAAGCCATGAGGAAATTCAAAAGATCCAGGAAGACACTTGAATTTTCCTGCATCATGATTCAATTACCTCAACATCCCCAAGCCCAACTTTGGTTGATTATGCTCATAGAATCGAAAATATTGAGAAGAAGATAGATAAAATTGAAAATGATCTTCTAAATACCTTCACTAAGAAAAGCATCTCCAAGGATTCAAGTAAAGCATCCTCTGCTTTGAAAGGCACTAAATTACTCACGATCTTTAATCCTCTCGGATACACTCGTAAAGAATTGGCTAACTTCACTACCTCAACTGAGTATGTGCAGCTGTATGATTCAGAAGGAAAAGTAGTTGAAAAGGCCGAGATTTACCTTGAATATCTAACTCAATACACAAATAGTTCAATAAATACCACAGAGAGACAATTCGTAGTTATATTTGAAGCAGAGTTTCAACCTTTCTCAATGACAAAGTACTTTTATAAAGAGCTCGATGATAGTGCACAGTGTCAGAACAAATGTGTTAAAGTTATCTCAACTCAGAGTCCGAATGGGGGCACTGATATGAAAATCGAAAACTCTCATATAGAGATTGGAATTAAAAGAGGTCAGCTCATCTCTTCGTATAAAGATAAATGGAGTGGAATAACCGTCGATCTTCCAACTACAATACATACATATAGCGGTACTAAAGGGGAAACTCAGTCAGGACTTTATATTTTCAATCCCACCAGGAACTCGACTCAGCGTGAGCTAAGACTCCAGATGAGAAATCTTCAGCAAGGAAAGCTGGTGACAATCATTCACTCTTTCTATAAATTAACAGGGACTAATACTTTGATAGCTCAGTCAATCACTTTGAACAATTGTTCTAACTTTGCTCTCCAAAGATCAGTAAGAGTTGCTACAAAGATGTACTCGGAAGAACTTTATGAATTCACCATGAGGTCTGACCTGAGTAAGACTTTTGGTTCAGATAAAACTCAGATTTATTCACATAATGGAGCAGATAATCAGCTCAAGCAATTTTATACTTATGAAGAGGCCAAAAAGTTCAACTTGACACAAAACGAAATGGAATATGTTGGCCTTAATGGTTTTGCTAGTATATATGGGACTACTTTCAGGTCAGAGAATGACATTTTCTTCGGATTTGTAAACTCAAATTCTATCTTAGTCAATCCATTGACCAAAAGCCATTACGAAATAATGTTAATGAGAAACACTAATTATTATGATGACAAAGGTAAATATTCCTGTTGATCGCTTTTATAGGCATTGTTGACCCATTGATTGATAAGAATATGGAAACATTTGATCAGATCTTATTTGCAGTACAAGGAATTGAATCCTTTGACAATGTCCAAAAGCAACTCAGTGCTGTCCTTAATGAAAAGCTTCAAGTAAGAAAGACAGAGGTAAAATATGAAGACAATATGGATACAACTCCTGACAGTATTTTCGTAGGATCAGGACTCTCAGCTGGTTTTGGGGACATAGACATAATTGATGTCTCTTTTGATACTGGTACTTTACTTCTTAAATTCTAGGCTTAAAACCATCTGCAAACTGGAAACTAAGAAGTAGCATGCCCTTCAATGTGAGTCTCCATCCATCCTTCAGGATTGATTCATATGGAAATAAGGGTATCGAGATTAACACTAACAAACCCTTCTTGATCGATCCTTCAGCAGATTCTCCCTTGAAAGAGAAAAGGAGCCCATATACTGACCTCAGAGATCTCTTTACAGATGACATGTCCTTCCCAATTTTCAATGACAAAAATAAGAAGGATTATACTTATGGCTACGTAGATGTCACTACATCTTTGAGAAACCTAAAAAGTGTGCCGATCAAAGAAAAGGTAGAATATGTTGCACTAAAAGATCTTAAAGGAAAGTTTTATGGAGACCATAAGAATTCAGAAGATCCTGCTGTGTTGGTATCAGAAGTGCCTTGAAGTAAGGATGGAAAATATCCTTCTGTTTCTCCAGAAGATCCAAAGGCACCTTTGCATCCTTTTAAGGAGCATAGAGATCCAACTGATTGGGATGAAGATAAGACTAAAGAAGAGTATTATCCAGGAGGATGCAACACTTGTGATAACAAGGATATTTCAATGTAAGCTATTTGTTAATCCTCTAGATCTCCATTTATTTGGTCTTTTGTCAAAGTCTTAGCAGTAGCTTTCCTCTTGTGAAACCTGGCACTTTGTGGCATTTTGTTCTACATTAAAAGATTGAGAAAGAACCAAATCCACAAATATGTTATGTATTAAAACTGTAAACAAACAATTTTAGGAGAATTAATAGGGGTTTTGGGGTTTTGGGGTTTTGGGGTTTTGGGGTTTTGGGG